AAGCTTTACCTAATCAAGTCTAGGGTCAACCGTTATCTTTCCTGTATAACCACATGAACTTCACTTCTTGCCTTTTTCTTACGTTCATACAACACCAGACTGTAACCTTCTATCTTGAGTGTCTCTTAGGCCTTATATTGGGAGAACAAAAAAAAACTCTGGAATTTACAAAGATTGGGTATATAGTTACCATAAAATGTATTCCTCTCATAGAAATTTGACCATTCTCTGCAGGCGATTCTTCAGTTGACACTCATCTTTCCGCTGGATTTTGACCGTGATATCGAGAGGATGGATCTGACTTTTACATATTCCATTCGTAAGAAGTACCATTCGAAGGGCTTCTTCCCAAGACGTGCTGCTTTTGGAACAGACTCCCAGCAGAATGTTTTCCTAATCACTACAATCTTGACCGCTTAAAGTCTAGGATTAACCTTTATTTTTCCTACATAACCCCATTATCTTGCTTTTTCTTATCCTCATACAACACCACACAGTAGCCATCTACATTCAGCGGTCCTTGGGTCTTGTATTGCGTCAACATTAGTTTATAAAAAAAAATAGATAGATAGCTAGATAGCTAGCTAGCTAGCTAGCTAGATAGATAGATAGATAGATAGATAGATAGATAGATAGATTTCAAAAAATGTTTTGATTTTTTTCGGAACTATTTTCTTAAGATATGAAATAACATTTAATCGAAAAGAATTCGTGGATCCTCCTCCAAATTTAAGTAACTGATACTTGGTCCATTGCCCACGCTTCCACATATCGTGAGACCAACAGACTGACATTCGTTGACAGGGGCAACAAATGTATATGCTTTAAGAAGAGCATAAATGTAACATTGCAAACTGGGAAGAGGCAGGACACGATGGAATTCATGGATCCTGATTCTAAAGATTTACAGCGATGCAAGAAAGAATTTCCTGGTAACTGCATAAATGTCATGGAATTGATAAAAGTATGGAACACGAATGTGACATTTATACAATTCATTACTGGACCACATGGAACGGTCCCGGAGAGCCGCACAAAGTCATTGGAATGGAAGGATTGGAAATCTATGGAAAAATGAAAAATCATCCAAACGACAGCATTACTAAAATCAGCAAAGTGTCTACTGGAGAATTGAAGAGGTTTGTTGTCTGGCAAAACCCATCAGCTGCGAAAAGTCGAAGAGTACAAGAAACGACTAAGAGGATTTGCGAGTTTATATATCAGTGTACATAATGTCAACAGGAAAAATTTTAAAAGTGAAGGAAATACGAGGTGACGTGGTGTCACTTGAGCCCCAGTGATTATAATTAAATACTTCTTTCTGTTTGAATTTCTGGGATAAGTAATTTATTTACATTATCTACAACAGGACTATTATCCTCATCTTTTTATTGTTATCATTTCGACCATTAAAAGCAAATATTGCTATTATTATTATTATTATTATTATTATTATTAATAATAATAATAATAATAACAATAATAATAATAATAATAATGTCTAGGATATATAAAATAAAAATTGTGAAAATGTAGGCGTGTTATAATAAAACCTTCAAACACATAATGAGAAAATATATCAAATAACACCAGAAAGAAGGCAATAATATAGAAATAACTGAGTGGGAAAGGTTAGCCACTAAGAACTGTGCAAGTGACTGCAGTTTGAGCATATAGATTAATAGCATATCCAATCTATTCTTGGAAATGAAAATTAAAATCCTCTGGGACTCAAAGAAATCACCCAATGCATGAAGAAAATCAGATTTATTCATTGTAAAAAGAGAAAAAACACGCTGACTACGTCTGGGGATATCTCGTCTAATTCTTATTTAGGACTGCTCAGTTATTACACGTTCCGTTTCCACTGAGTACGTTTACACACTGTTAGGCCCAGGGATTCAACTCACAAATACTATATCATCAAATTCACGAAGGCTTTAATCGACATGCTGTTGGCCTTGAGCCAGACGGTGCGTGATTGGACTCCCTATAAATTTTGAGCATTAACTGAGCGGTACTAAACGAGAACGAGACGAGATATATCGAGACATGCTAACCCAGCAAGACGAGAACAATCTAACATCGTAAATTCATTCAGAATTCAGTTCGAAATTCCTTATAGGTTACACGGATCGGCAAACAGGTCACGGGGGAAGGGGGGTACAACGGCCTAAAAAGTTATGACAATAACAAAAGAAATGAGGACAATCGTCCGAGTGTAAATAATGTAAATAATAGCTCCTCATCTTATTTTAAAAAGAAAAGAGGGGCTTCACAAATATTAGGGTAGATTGGGAGCAAATCTTTCCCGTCTAAAACTTTCTCGGTCTCACCCATTTCACAAAACCTGACCCAATATCCAATCGGATTTATTTTTAGACAGGTTTCCTCACGTACGGCTGAAAACAGGTTTGTCGCTGGTAAACACACCTTGCAAGAGAACTGAAAAATTGTGGAATGTGAAAATGGCAGTTGTAGTCACCTGAAAAAAATTAATAAAGACACCGATATATTACTCATGTAAGTATATCTTGAAAATGATCAAAAACATCGGTTGATTAATACGAATTTTACTGTGAAAATATTAACTTGTATAATGAATTCTAACACATGATCGAAAATGAACGCAATATATAAGCTAGAAATAATTCAGAAAGTGTATATCTCTACCAATTACTGTCGCTAAAAACTGAGGGAAAAATAATTCATAGATCGATACAATGCTGGAAAGGTAAATTTCCATTTGAAAGAGAGTAAAAGAATTGGGATGCCAAGATAGGATTGAAAACGACCAAATGTAACATTCCGGAAATCAGCTAATATACTGTGGAAAGTTCTGGAGTATTTAAGAAACTTAATGTCACTTATGTGTTGTGGTGTTATGGATATGCTAGGATGCGCAATCGTGGAGAAAAAAACGTATATTCAATGGGGGGGAAATAAATATTCGTACACCATGAATATTTTATTTATCATAGATTTTATAAAAGAATTTTATAATCCTTACAATATTTGTATACCATGGCATAATGCTGCTATATGCAAAAAGCAGAAAATTTGTTACATTAATGAAATTATATGAAATTAAAAATTTAGAGGTGAAAAAAGTATTCGTCCAAAATTATAATACCTATTTAATACTTTGTAGCATAGTCCTTACTCAATTCAACAGCAATCAGTCTCTTTCTATAGCTTTTAATTAATGATTTACAAGTTTCCGTTAGTATTTTACTCCATTCTTCTCTGCATATTCGATTTTGTTCCAGGATGTTTTTCAGAGCTCTTTTATTAACTTGAATTTTTAATAAACGCCACAAATTCTCTATTGGATTCAAGTCTGTAGTCTGTGATGGTCATTCGAGTGTATTGATATTGTTTTGAAAAAAACATTTTTTTCGTAGATTTAGCCGTATGTTTAGGGTCCTTATCTTGTTGTAAAACCCATTCATTTAGGAGTCCACGCTTTACTACTGACCCAAACAAATTAGAGTCCAAAACATCTTGGTATATTTTTGAATTCATTCTACCATCTATTATCTCTAAATTACCCGTACTATTAGCAGAATAACATCCCTAAACAATGATATTGCCATCAGCAAATTTTCACCGTTCTTCGGTGCAAAGGCTGTGCCAACTTTTCCCCAAACGCGAGTCCTTGAATTACGCCCAAATAGTTCAATTTTTGCTTCATCTGTCCATAAAAAAAACTTTCCCAGGTTTATTCTTATAGTCACGAACAAATTTTAACCGTGTATCCCTATGCTTCTTCAATAGAAATGGAGTTTTTCTTGGAGAACGCGATCTTAGTTGACTTCTATGAAGTTTATTGCTTATTGTTCGCTTCGTAACAATAAAAACTGATGCTTTTAATTCTTCCTGTATTTATCTCTGTGTACTCATTGAATTTTCTTGAATTTTGCGCTGAATTCTTCTCATTTAACTGAGAGAAATCTTGCCTGATGCCCCAGATTTCGATTTATTCTCAACAGTTTTCACCTTTTTTTATACTTAGCAATAACTAAGAACTAATAGTAGTAAATGGTATATTCAAGATATCTGCTATTTTCCTATAGCTTTTGCATTCCTTCCAATGTTTGATCAATTCTTTTTCAGAATTTGATAGCTCCTTTTTTACCCATGATGATAATTATTGTGCATCATTTGTGTACGAAGATAACCTTATGTAAGAAATAAATTGCGGAATGTTCTATATTGTTCCGAAAATTGGAAGAATCTAGCATAATTTTACAAAGAATTATGTAAATAAAGGTAATTTAAGCCTTTTGATATTAAAGACCTATTTTGTACGAGCACTTTTTTCGCCTCAAAATTTTATAGATAACATAATTGAATTTATAACAAAGTTTTCTCATTTTTTTTTGCATATTGCAGCATTATGCAATGGTGTAGAAATATTGTTTGGATTTTAAGCTTTTTCACAAGTTGATTTTAAAAATTCATGGTGTACGAATATTTATTTTCTCCCACTGTTTATTCCAGTCAAGTTTGTTACAGCCACTTACGCGTAAATACCCTTGGGAAATGTAAGAATCCATCTCTTCTCCCTCGAGCTATGGGTTGAATAGCAGGACAGACTGGGTCTTATACCTTTGGTTAGCAAACATTCTACCGCCGAAAGAAACGGTAACCTTCTGCGGGAAAATCTTCTGTCTCGTCAGTCATGAATCAAAAGAAACTTTATCGCACAAACGTGCTTATGGTACTTAATTGACTGAATGTCACTTGATTTTCATTGAGAACAACTAGATAATATTCTAAAAGATTATAACTGGCACTTATTAAGCTTAGCTTAATCTGGCTAAGAACATAATTATAGGGCATCCAGTGTGGATCGAACACACAACAGAGTAGTTAAATATTGCTATTACTCTACAGAAAATCCTCCAATTCGAGTTTATAACAATTGATACAAGTCAAAAGTGCGGAGTGCCAAAAACTTTGTTAAAAAGTGCCTCTTTATGGAATCAATATCATCGTCATTCTAGATCAGAAGAGGATAGCAGGTGCTGCGAAGGAGGATAGCAGGTGAGGCGGAAGAGGATAGGAGGTGAGACGGAAGAGAATAGCAGGTGCTGCGGAGGAGGATAGCAGGTGAGGCGGAAGAGAATAGCAGGTGAGGCGGAAGAGAATTGCAGGCGTTGCAGAGGAGGATAGCAGGTGAGGCGGAAGAGAATAGCAGGTACGGCAGAAGAGGATAGCAGCTGAGGCGGAAGAGGATAGCAGGTGTGGGGGAACAGGATAGCAGGTGAGACGGAAGAGCATAGCAGGTGAGGCGGAAGAGCATAGCAGGTGCGGCGGAAGAGGATAGCAGGTGAGGTGGAAGAGAATAGCCGGTGAGGCGGAAGAGGATAGCAGGTGAGGCGGAAGAGCATAGCAGGTGCGGCGAAAGAGCATAGCAGGTGAGGTGGAAGAGAATAGCAGGTGAGGCGGAAGAGAATAGCAGGTGAGACGGAAGAGATTAGCAGGTGAGGCGAAAGAGGATAGCAGTTGAGGCGGAAGAGATTAGCAGGTGAGGCGGAAGAGGATAGCAGGTGCGGCGAAAGAGGATAGCAGGTGAGGTGCAAGAGAATAGCAGGTGAGGCGGAAGAGAATAGCAGGTGCGGCGAAAGAGGATAGCAGGTGAGGCGGAAGAGAATAGCAGGTGCGGCGAAAGAGGATAGCAGGTGAGGCGGAAGAGAATAGCAGGTGCGGCGAAAGAGGATAGCAGGTGAGGCGGAAGAGAATAGCAGGTGAGACGGAAGCGAATAGCAGGTGCGGCGAACGAGCATAGCAGGTGAAGTGGAAGAGAATAGCAGGTGAGGCGGAAGAGAATAGCAGGTGCGGCGAAAGAGGATAGCAGGTGAGGCGGAAGAGAATAGCAGGTGAGACGGAAGCGAATAGCAGGTGCGGCGAAAGAGCATATCAGGTGAAGTGGAAGAGAATAGCAGGTGAGGCGGAAGAGGATAACAGGTGAGGTGGAAGAGAATAGCAAGTGAGACGGAAGAGGATAGCAGGTGAGGTGGTAGAGAATAGCAGGTGAGGCAGAAGAGGATAGCAGGTGAGGTGGTAGAGAATAGCAGGTGAGCCGAAGAAGATAGCAAGTTTGGCGTAGAAGATAGCAGGTGAGGCAGAAGGGGATAGCCGGTGAGGCGGAATGATTGCAAGACAATCATATGTAGAAACATTTTTTAAAAAATTCATATGCCAAAAGAAAATATGATTTCAAAATTTAAAATATATTTATGGATTACTTGCATGAGTCCCACTATAAATAGTTATAAATAATTATTGACTGATTTTATCCTGGTGATACTTTTGCATTATATCAAGTATTAAGTGTAACTGAGCTCCGCAAATTAGAGGAGAGAGTTATCAATGATAATGTTCTGACTTTAATCAGCAGTTATCTCCCCTTTAAACCTCTCTCTGTTTTTTGTTGTTCTTTTTTTCTTTTTTTTTTTGTTTAGTTTTGTTGTTTTTTTGGGGTTTTTTAAATATACTTTTTGTCACATAGAATTTGGTGAGGCGCGAATAAATTTTCATTCCGAAAATGCGACCCAGAGAAAAAAGAGTTTGGGAAACATTACTCTAGATATCAATATTCAGTTTTTTTTGTTTTTTTTAAACATTTCACTCCAAACACTTTCTTTCTGATTCTAAGTACAAATGTCCTTTTTCTTCCAATTTATCTTAAAATCTTGCACGTTGCTCACATAGTCCGTCCATAGTATCCTCAGTGTCCTTCTCCAGAACTACATTTTTTTTTGTCTCCTCTTCATTCGTGAGAAAATTATCCAATCTTCATTGCTATATAGGAGGATTGATAGATGTGATTCATTTGAAAACGCTGTCTGGGAAAATTCTCATGCGGGAACCTAAACACGGAAAATGGATGAGAGGGAGACTAACTAAAACATATGTGGGTCAGCTAAGCAACAATATTGGTTTCAGGAGTGAAGAATTAATGAAAATCATGCAAAACATGGAAGAATGGAAAGAAAACACTTTAGTGGTACTGAAGATCATTCGAAATAAAAGTTACTACATAACAGTTTATATATAATGGAATATGCGTACACCTGTGTCCCCCCCCCCATTGGAGTGTGATTGGCTGGTGTCCGTCATAAATATCGACGGACGCGTAGGAGAGTCAGAGAAGATTCAAGAGCCTTTATCTGAGAGCTAAGTCTATAACGACGCTCATTAGACTACGCCATTGATCTACACTTCTTACCTGCGACTACGACGCGTACCAGTCGATTACTGCTATCGTTTTCTACTTGGTTATAGTAGCCAAAACCACTTAGCTACTTCGTTCAAATCTATCCCCTCTCGGGACATATCACAGTTCAACACCCTTTGTCTCTAACGAATTTTTCCTTTCTCTTAATACCTTGCTTAGCTTTTAGAAGGTATCTTTCTAATGCACCATCGGATTTCTGTGTAAAGTTTTCCGTTTTCTATAAAATAATAAGTAACTAGATATTGAACTTAAGGAGCGCCTTATATAAAAATAAATGACATTGTTAGCAAAGGCAGATAGGGCCTATGGCCATATCATGTTGAAACACCGGTTCCCGTACGATCACCTAAGTTAAGCAAAGTTGTACCTGGTCAGTACCTAGATGGGTGAAAAGGCAGATGCGCACATGTACCTAATACTTATACAAGAGCAAAATAATAAGTATTCATTTCAGGGTGTTGAATGGAAAGATAACCTGCTAACCACCAGGTGCAAATCCGCGCCTCAGTTGACGTCAGTGGCTGCCTGCAACCGTAAAAAGGTAAAAACATGGCCGACCTAGCTGCGCCTCGGATGTTCGCACGTTGAGAAAAACCGTATAACAGGTAGTTTTCAGTCTTAAAACCGACCTTTACCAGCCATCAATAGTGAAAAACAAAAGACAGCCATTGTTAACAAAGGCAGAATCTGCATTGGTGTTTGTAAGTACACTAGCCAATATCTGAATTTATATAAGATCAAATTAAAAAGTATGAACTTCAGGATATCGTGTGAAAAGGTGTGTACAACCTAAGGTAGATCTTCAAAACAGAAATTATTCAGGATTGCCACGACTCCAAAGCCAAAAAAGTGATAATGGTTTTAATTGGGACACCAGCTTCCCGGATGTGTTCAAAAGTAAAGAAAGTAAAATAAATAAGTTAAGTCTGCGTCAGTGACCTTTTCTCTCTCACTTACAAACACACAATGTCTACTAACAGCATATTTTTACGAGGATAAATTGGTACGAAGCAGTTCAAGTCAGACTTTTATAAAAGGAGGATTGGCGAGGACGAAGCAAAAATAAATTTCTCGGAAAACGAGTTTATCAACAAATTAGAAGCCTTGAATGAATTGAATACAATTGGCTTAAGAATATGAATATGAATTGAATAGTCATTGCTCTTTTACAAGTATATACATGACTAAGAGAAATATATACAGTCAATCAACGGGGACAGGGAGTAATATCTGTTTGTATAGAAAATCAGTAATTAAAATCATCTTGTTTAAATGTACCAATTCGCATATAATAGATAGATAGATAGATAGATAGATAGATAGATAGATAGATAGATAGAATCACAAGACAGAGATCGAGAGATAGAGATAGAGATAGAGAGAGAATCAACAGACTAAGATAGAAGGATAATAAACTGACTGAGATAGCGAGAGAGAGAGAGAGAGTCAACAGACTGAAATAGATAGATACACAGACAGACAGAGAAAATCAACATAGATAGAATCAACAGACTTTTATCGAGAAGGAAAGAATCAACAGACTATGCAAAGATAGATAGATAGATAGATAGATAGATAGATAGATAGATAGATAGATAGATAGAATCACCAAACTGAGATCGAGAAGGGAAGAATCAATAGACTATGATAATAGATAAATAGATAGAGAGACAGAGAAAAAAACAGCATAGATAGATAGATAGATAGATAGATAGATAGATAGATAGATTCAACAGACTAAGATAGATAGATAGATAGATAGATAGTCTCCCCCCCCCATAATCAATTTTGAATTGTAAACCATTTATTTGGTAAATCCCGGCATTTGTTTATTTTTCTTCCTGATCATACCCCCGATTGTCTTGAAAGTGGTGGTAACGATCCTAATATTAAGGATGACGAATTTACAGTATTTACATTAGTCGGACTATTGTCCTCATCACATTGTCGGACTATTGTCACAACGTTTCGGCCGTTGTACGCTCCGGCCTTCTTCAGGTGGTTGGAATTTCGAACTGAACCCTTTATTTCGATCACTGGGGTAGACTGTTCTCGTTCCACGTGCCATATTTGATGGATGTCAGTTATCAGTTATCTTCTGCTAATTTTCCCTCTGAAAGTTCTCCACTGCCTTAACTCACTATTGAACTCTTCTTTGGGTCTGTCACTGGATCTAACCAACGCCTTTATCCACTGTGCCATGTGTCCTTGAGGTATGAACTTCTGAGTATTATAAACCTAATGTTTTCAGCATCATTTTTTACCAGTGCTCATATTGCAATTTTTGCTGTTATCATTGCATGTCTTTACCAGGGTTCATATTGCAACTTTGTTATCATTGCTTTTCTCTGGCACTCCTTATTACTGGTTCCCATATTGTATTTATTTCTATGCTTAGTCAACACGGGGAAATGGTTAGCATGATTATATACCTGAAGAAGGCCGGAGCGTACAACGGCCGAAACGTTGTGACAAATATGGCGACAAAGATGAGGACAATAGTCCGATTAATGTAAATACTGTACATAATACCTCATCTCACAAATATAGACAGATGACTAATTTGTTTGCGAGTTTAGCGGAAAGAGTATTGGGGAGAAGGATTACGAATTTTGTGCAATTTTTATTAGAAGTGTTATTGGTGGTGTTTGTTTTTTTGGCTTTATGGAATTTCTAAGCTCGTTTTTTTTGTTTGTTTTTGTTTTGTTTTTTTGCGTTGAGGATAAAATGATGTGGGGAATGGAGAAGATTGAAAGTTTTCTCAATATATCTCTCTTCTTCATTTACATACTCCGTGCTACATATCTGTTATAGTACCTATTCTATTGTAATGGACTCTCCCACAGATAATAAGTAGTAGTAGCAGTGGCCCGTGGGGTTCAGCGGTGTTGAGCGAGTCAGACGATATCGGACATTGAAGTACCAACCATCACAACTAGATTGCTGCGTCATTAACTCTTATTTTCAAGTTCCTAACGTTTTGTACGTCGAACCTAATTTAGGACGACTTATTGAAATACAAGCCTCCACTGTGAAAACTACTCTACAACAATATCCTAAGTACTCTGAGGTAGAATCTTATTACTAGTCCAGATTTTATTTTTTTGGTTGTGGTGGGAATAGAAGTTGATTAGATCAATTTTTTTTTTTTTTGTGGGGGGTTAAGATATAACTTAAAATCTAATTTCTTATTGTTGCGTATTAATAAGATGTCGGGGAAAAGTAGAGAATTGTTTATTTCAAATTCGTGTATGAATTCAATAGTAGGTTCAACCTTATTGAGTTTCATTATTATGTCTAATAGATTTGTATCTTGAGGATATAATGAGATGTCATCTCTATATCTTACGTAAATAGATCTTTTTGGTATAGTGTGTCTAAATGGACTCGATTCTAAGAATTCTAGAAAAAGGCAAGTGAGAATACCACTGATAGGTGACCCCATAGGTAAACCGAATTTCTGCTTGTAGAGAATATTGTTAAAAAGAAGAAGCAGTGGTTAGTGATTCGTTTGCCTATTTTTATAATTTTGTTGGCGGGTAGAGGAAGGTTTTCTTGGGATTTTTGAGGTGGTTTCTCAATATGTTGAGGCATTTCGTGATGGCTACGTGTATAATGATTTGATGTCTAGGCTCGCCATGATCATGTTTTCCATATTTATGCTTCGTCATGTCTGGATTAAGTCACTAGAGTGTTTGATATGCGTTATGTTGATGGTTCCTTGGAACAGAGGACTTTTGCAGTGAATCTAGCTAATTTGTGGTGTTTACTGTTGATACTGGACACAATGGGTCTGATTCGTATGTCGGGTTTGTGTGCTTTGAGTAAGCCGTATAGTTTGATGGGGTGGTATTCTATTAATCAGGTCCAGCATTTGTTTTCATTTTTTAGTAGTTTATTAACTGTTTTGTTGAACCTTTGTGTGTCTGCGTTTACTGTTTGTTCATTGGTTTTTATGTAGGTGTTGTTGTTTTTAAGAAGGGATTCTAATTTATCAATGTAGACGTTGGTGTCCATTATAACTATACCGCCTCCTTTGTTGGATGGGGTTATGATGATGCTTTTGTTTGTGGATATTTTTTTAGTGCCCGTATGTAGCTCCTGGGTAGCATAGATTCATCAGTGTTTGTGAGGGTGTCTTCTAATATACCTTGTAAGAAACCTTTTTCGAATTTGGTGTCGTTAAATTTGTAGCTTTTGGTTAAGGCTGTGACAATATCATCGACAGTTGTGATAGTGTCAGCCATAGATAGATAGATAGATAGATAGATAGATAGATAGATAATGAGAGTGAGAGAGAATCAACAGCATAAAATAGAGAGAGAGAGAATCAACATTGATAGATAAATAGAGAATCAACAGAGTGAGGAATAAAGATAGAGAGAGGGAGAGAGATTCAACAGATTCAGATCAAAAAAGGGGGAATCAACAGACCGAGATAGATAGATAGATAGATAGATAGATAGATAGAATTACATTTCGACGGAAGAATAAATATATGACTTCATGATATATAGTACCAGGCTGCTTCAATTTATTAGCTTTTTTTTTTAACTGGTGTTGATATATTGTGGGATAAAAAAAAGCTTATAACATACAAAAACTGAGTTGAAATTAACGTCAAATCTAATTTCCATAACGATAGAGTTTTGTAAAAAAAAAAAAATAATCTAGCGTTTCTATGCTCAACGAAAATCACGTTCTGTCGTGATAGTGTTCATTGAGTTCAAATACAATCCGTTTACCTGATGACGCTGAATGATCAGTGAATGATGTCAGCATAAAAGGTTTATTATTAATTTAAAGGACTAAACAATGGATGTCGTCTGAAAATAATCTGTCTCTGTTTCACGATATATATATTAGTCGCTCCTTAGAAAGACGACCTTGACCTTCACAACCCCTGATCTCGCAGATTTAAGTCCAGCAGCAGGCGAGCAACTGGACAACTGACTAATATGGTGGACTCCAAAACCGTACCTCATGAGCATCGGATTAGGCAGCGCTTTCCAAACATCGAACAACATGGGGAGTAATTTTATATCTACGGTTTGCTACTCCATCTAGCCAGGGAGTACTTGAACAAATCGTTCCACATATTGTTAGCTCCTTTTTTTCGTCCCAATCCGAGCTGCTCGACCTGGGAGCCCGGATCAAAGTCTAGTACGCTCTTCCGGTGCTTTGTCGAGAGAATACTCTTCGGCGTGATCCCGTTTCCGCGGTCGATCCACCCTGGAAGACGTATCAACTCTCTGATCAGCTTCGTCAAGTACTACACTTCGGCGATACGACGAATCTTCGTGCGACATCGATCAACCTGCTGCGGTTTCCGACAATTCTCCCATCCGGCAGTCGACCAGCTACCGCCGCCGACCAACTCTATATATTGAGAGAGAGAGAAAGAGAAAGGGGGGAAGGTCTGAAGAACCTGACAACTTAGGGTTAAGAAATATCCACGATATTGTATATTTTCACTACGACATTCAACACACCACTTTTCTCCACTTTCTATCTATACCTTCCCACCCCACCAAAAAATCCCTTATATATATATATATATATATATATATATATATATATATATATATATATATATATATATAGTTAAATTCCCAGATGAATTCTGTGGACAAGACAGATTGGTATCAAATGACAATTGGAAAAAAATCATACATTTTGCCGACGCGTTTCGTCTTCCGATTTTCAAAGCAAAAATGAAATCGAAATGTTTTTGTTGTTATAATTACATTAAAATTCAAAATTAAAAAGATAGACACTTGTGTCTAAGCCTTTTTAATTTTGAATTTTGAAATTAAAAAGGCTTAGACACAAGTGTCTATCTTTTTAATTTTGAATTTTAATGTAACTATAACAACAAAAACATTTCGATTTCATTTTTGCCTTGAAAAATCGGAAGACGAAACGCGTCGGCAAAATGTATGATTTTTTTCAAATTGTCATTTGATACCATATATATATATATATATATATATATATATATATATATATATATATATTATATTTAGGCAGCAATCCTTCTTTCATGCACATTTGTCTGTCGTTTTTAATGAAATGTATATATATATATATATATATATATATATATATATATATTGTTAAATATAACAGACAGTGAATGTCTGTTATGTATGATCATGAGCCGTTCTAAGCTTCGTATAATGCCTTTTTAGTTTGAGGAAAAAATAAAAACAATATATATATATATATATATATATATATATATATATATATATATATTAATCATGCTAACAATTTCATGTTACTAACAAAGACTTTACAAAAAATAAATTGCTAACCACCATTCTACCAATGGCACCAACAAAGAAAGATATAAGAATATATGTTGAATTTCATGATTACGCTGATGGGATAAACATAACTAATATTAGCGATGTTTGGTACAAGGCCTCAAATACGGAGCTGCAAATACGGATCAAACTTACTACAGTACTAAGTATCATCGAAGGCAAACGGTTATATTTCTTAAAGTCTGTTTCTATCTTTCTTTTCTTTTAATACTAGAATTCCCCCAATACCAGGCTCGAAATCAATACCAGGATAAAGGGTTACTGTTAAAATGGTAATAATGAAAGACGTGTGAGATATGTATGAAAAAGGAAATGATAGCACGTAAAGATTATGAGGATAGGGAGGATAGATAAGAATAAGAATGTCTTGAAGAAGTTAAGATTGTAATATTCAGGGAAGATAAAAATAGAGCAGGAGCACCAGACTATATGTGGCAGCAATATTCAAAGCATGGACAAATAGTAGACCTATAAATATGTAAGATAGATGTGGAGACAGGAATCAATACAATATCATGACTGTCAGTTTCACACATCAAGCGATCTTTAGATCATGTATCATTACTTGTTTCTCGGGATCGATATATAGATCACTTGTGGATTATGGGAAACTGAAGAAGTTAATCGGTTCTCCCCCGTTGTTTTCTTTATGGATAATTCTTTAGGAGAAAGTTCTAAAGTGTTGTAAGCTGCTTTTCCTATTTTTCATGCTATTTTCAGTGGATTTTGGGTTGCGATTTTGATTTTCCCAATATGTTTTTACAGAGTTGTACATACTGTTCATTGTGTCTCCACATTTTATTTACAAACACTCTATCTCGGATACTGAGCACTATTGCCCATAGTGGATGCATAATAAAGAATAATCTTACTTATTATAAAACGCAGATTGTGTGTGTGTGTGTGTGTGTGTGTGTGTGTGTGTGTGTGTGTGTGTGTGTGTGTGTGTGTGTGTTCGTTTATATATGGGATCGTATTTCCTACATTTTTCAACCGATTTCAACAAAACTTCACAGGACTACGTAAAATTACCCGGCGGTGGTTCTGACAGCGCCAAAAATTGGAAAAAAAACATTGTTTTTGCACGAAATCAATTTATAAAGCACGGGTAAGGGTATCGCACCCGGCCGGAAGTTACTGCCGGCTACTCAAACGTCCGAATGCCGTTAACTTCCGGTGACTCAGCGTTTTTTTGTTTGTTTTTTTCAAAGAACGATACACAAAAAGTAAAACAAATGAAACATAAACATACACAAGTCCTCCTAACTAAAAATAATAATCGGAAACTACTTTAAATACACATGGTGTCCAAATGTGTACAGTCAAAATGCGGAAGTTAATTTTTAGTCATCAACCAAAAGATATTGCCAACCGGCTACGATGCTAACTGCAGCCGACATAAATACAGCCGATTTCTTCCACCAAGCAACTTGGCTCCGGGGTAGAGCGACGAGTAATGTAATTAATACTTTTTATTATAAACAGAGCATATACTTAAATATTTGTATCTATAGAAATAACATATAGACAGAAAATATATTAAAATAATTGTCAGACTTAGTTCATTTCATAATGTTGCCATTTGTTTATGTTAAGATACGCTTCGAGCATATATATATATATATATATATATATATATATATATATATATATATATCCGTCGGTTTCGACGTATGAGGACCTGACAGCTTATTGATTCAGTTATGAAAGTTTGTGCGACTTATGTGGCATTTAAGACCCGCTAGATTTACAAAGGAGGCCACATTGATTATATATGTTATGAATGTGTGTGGACATAGAACTCGACAGTGTATGTCGATTGCCAGTTTTACACTTTTAGTGCAAACTAAAGACAAATGAAAACACGCAAACAAATTCCAGTTACGTTATCGCCAACCACATCACGATCCCAAAGGCGAAAAAAATAATAAGCCATAACTTCAAACTAATAAATTTTCCTTGAAAGCATACAACAAATTTTAGAACTGAAGAAATAATTAAAATAAATCAAAACAAAAATAAAATTTAATAAAACAGATAAATAAAATAATCAGCCCTAAGGTCAGGACTATAAATAATTTTACAACTTTATTCCTAAACAAAATCAGCCCCCACAAATAAAAATGGACATAACCGGTTTCTTTCTTTTTGTATTTTATTTTATCGTATTATTTTAGTTTGTTTTATTTTCATTTGTTTCTATCATTTTTTTGTCTATTTTTTCGGTCCGATAACAAATACTAAACTTTAAAACCGAAGAAATTATCCAAAAATCAAAATAAATATATGTACAAAAAAAAAACAAGAAAAACCATTGATTTGAACAAAGTTAGCAAATAATGATCGTTTGGGAGAGCTTTCTTTTTTATTCCATGAGGTGACACTGCAAAAACCTGACCCTTTTGTCAGCGGTTATGTTAATATATAAAGGTGACTTGACTTTTTTTTATATTTAAAGCTTTCAATTTGTTGAGAATCTTTGCGGTAATGACTGTTTCTAAAAGAAGCCTTCAAATTTTATCTAGAGCTTCTGATAATTTTTGACGAAAACTGTCTAGAATGGAGATAATCGGTCCCATAAACAAGATTTTTGTTTTGTTTTTAATTCAGTAATAATTTTACAAACAAAAGTTCAGCCTACTAATGGCTGTCATCTCAACAGTCTATTCGCCTCGCATTTTAAAATTAGAAAAACTGCAGAATATAGACGGAGTAGACATGCATAAAAAAATTCAAGAAATAAGAAGAGTTAAAAAAAAATTCTCTTGGACAGGATGTAGTCAAAAACGAGGAATCATAATAGAAAAAAAAAAGATCATAAAAAGATGGAAGAAATAAAAGGTGTTTCATTAAGACGGATTATATATAAGGGTGTTTCATAAAGACATATCAAAGTCAGCAGTAAATAAATCAATGTTATTGGTGAAAATTTATTTATTTCTCTATTGGATCATGTTATTTAAGTCATGGCAATTATGTGTGAAAAATAATATCACCCAAATGTCCACCAAATCTGAAAGAAAAAGAAAAAAATCATTAGACGCTTAAACTTAATTCACATTTAAAATCGGTCCAAGTTATTGGAACAACCTTTACATTGGAGTTTGCTTCTATGACAACAAGTAAGAGAAACCTATAAATCATTAAAAAAATCCTGTCGTATTAATATTTAAAGTAAGGTCAAAACTGACCAAGATGAAAAGAAACAAAGTAACAGGAGTAGATGACATAGAAATAAAGATGCTGTCAGCTTTAGAGGATTTCAGGATTAATAAGGTAAAACGAAATGGTAAATTAAATATATATGACAACGGTGAAATACCGGAAGAGTATATATATTTTTATAGTGGTGCCAAAGAAACCAGGTGCAAATGAATGCTAAGTCCAACGGACAATCAGCCTGATGAGCTAGATAAATAAAGAATGGAAAATGTTTTTTTGCAGAATTATATCGAAAATAGGGCATGAACAGTGTGACATTGTTCAAGGAACGGAAACAAGAAATTCTCCTTTTATGATCAGAAAGTTATCAGACTCCGAGCAATGTAAATACAGAATGGCCTATGACTATGTTTCATAGATTACACAAGCGAATTTGTCGAGGTACAACACGAAGAACCACAGAGAATAGTAGAGGTCGGTGTAAATAATGACGTAATAATGTCGTTTTTGACGTTAAAAATACGTCAAAAACGACATTATTGCGTCATTATTTTTGCACCAACCTAATAAAAAAAAGCTTGATTTATACGGGATATTCGAGTAATCAGTAATTACTAATGGGAACAAACATCCGGACAGATTACGAATTCAAAAACGACAGAAGAGTAAGATAAGGATGCCTTTTCTCACCGGATGTATTTAACTTATACAGCGAGACAATCCTAATAAAACTACTGGAATTTATTACTGACGGACATTATCTTAACAACATAATAGCGGATGACAATATTAATGACCAATAACTCTTAGAGTTAAATACTAAAGGAAAGCAAGAAATAAGAGTCCTATTATAACTGGGCTTGCACCCCAACCGTGCGTTAGTTCGCACGACCGTTACGCCCTGTCAATAGCTCATAAATAATGAACTATTCTGTTTTGTTCGCATGGAAAGTAGCGAAAAGTTTCAGTGAAAAAAATGAAAGAAAGATAGACGTGGAGAGAGACGATCAGAACAGATACTACACTTTGATCTTAATATTTTTTGACAAAATTACATCAGTTCGGCACAAGGCCAGGAAAAAAGGGGGATGTGGTCATGCATAGTCTAGTACTAAAAAATGAAACTACTCTCATTCAACCCATCCACACGAACAATATTCTTTTCGTCCGTCTCTTTCATCCGTCACCTACCACTCTATACTACCTGCAAATCATCATTTACAATATAAATATTGACATGCAAGGATCTAAACAGCTGAGAATGGATCACATGACAGGTTTCATTTTACCAGGCTGTTCAAATATTGATAGAGTGTAACATGACGGCACACAAGAGCTAAAAACACATAACAAACTGGTTTCTTTCACCCATCTATAATAGAAATCCTCCTTGGTCAATCTATTTTAAAAATTTTTTTTTTTGGTCATATCTTCACCTTGAGCAGATATTTGAAGAATGCAATCAGGTCATAGTGAGACAGCATATCTCCATGCAATGACTGCAAGCTGCTTGGTGTTCCGCACAACCATTCTGGCTACGGCCAAGAGTGTAAGGAACATCATGTGCTTCAGCCCTTCCCATGGAGGGGCCACATTATCACATAGATAAGAGACGTCAAGGTATACTACACTTTCAGGCTCCATGCGAGCGACCAGCATAGCGGGTAGGCTTGTGGGCAGTGATAGAAGACATGTTTGGCCATCTCTTCTGCATCACTGTATCTCCCGTATTTAGGCGTTTCAGCTACCCCCATCATGAACATAATATCATTGACTGGCGAGGCATTTTGTGTCGAGCGCCAAATCAGGAAGAACTCAGGGAGTTTGTGAGGAAATCAGTACCTGGGGCCCAGTGCCAATCGGACCGGAATCAAGCCAAAGCGCTGGCAGAGGGGATCAGAGGCAGCCTCTTTTACCAGACTGTGTTAAAGGGTCTTATTCTCGTTGAGCTTGCCGTTTGTGGGTGGAGGCTTAGCCATTGCCACTCGGCGCACAAGGAGTAAGGCGGTTTTTCCGGTGGGTCTGCGACACGCCTCTACGTGACGGTACAAGGAGTCGTCCCCGAGGCCTGGAAAAGCAGCTGCAGCAGAACCCCACCGGGTCCCTGTCAATCTTGCGCCTCAGAAAAGCCAGTCTCAAAGCCCGCTTATGACTTAGGTGTGGCAAACCCAGTCCTCCACGACATGGATGTTGAAAACAGACTTCCCTGCACACCACTGGTCGCCCTCTCACCCAGAGCATTTTAGAGAGGAACCGCTGGAATTTGGTCAGCTCTTTCGCTATGATGAGAAGGACTGATAGTCTATATAGGATGGGAGGGTAGAGGTAAATGACACACACCTCTGCTCTGCCCTTCAGGCACAAATGCCATGCACTCACCATCTTGTCAACCTTGGATGGAACTTCCAGTTTTTCTCAAGCTGGAGATCGGGTCCGAACTACACCCTGAGATGAGAACTAGTCCATCTGTTCACTCAAATGTTCCCGGCAGAGACCTCTCTTTCCACGCTCCCGGCCGCAGTCCGACGGACTTGGATCTATTGAGCCTGGCCCATATCGCTCGCTCACAGCCTATGTCTCGACTGCTGAACACGCAAACGGTGACGTAATCAGCGTATGCCGATACCCTGACTGTTACCCCACCTGAAAGTCTAATTCCGGGATTGGGGAGTGCTCAAGGCCCCCTTTTAGTTTCAATATGAAGGGTTCTAGCACGAGGCCATAGAGCAAGGGTGATAGAGGGCAACCCTGCCTCATGGACCTCGTGATATTGAACGGCTTGGAAATTTTGCCATTCATTTGTAATACGACATTGGGGGCTTCGTCCAATCCCTGTGCAAATCCTTCGTCAAATCCTGTGACCGATAGTGTTGCTTTCAGGTAACGATGATCCATTCTCTCAAAGGCCTTTGATCTAGGTTGACCAGTGGAGTACCCATGCCATCGTCTACCTCATCCAGGAAGGTGCACAGCAGGTACAGATTGTCCTGGATTGTCCTTCCCTTCACAGCGCATGTCTGTTCGGGGCCGATCAGCTTGTCCGCAACAATCTGCAGACGGCTTGTCTTCAGGTCAGTATTGAGGAGAGTTATAAGCCGGAAGTTCTCTACCTAATTCCCGTCGTGGTTGTTCTCCCTCAGCAAAGTGATCACTCGCCTGATTATCTTTTGGTGAATGTTTCCCGGATTGAACTTTTCGTTGAAAACTATTGCTAAACGATGAACAAACATGTGTAGCATTTTTAGGTAAATTTCGTAAGGGAGGCCTCGAGTCCTGGAGCTTTGTTAGTACCAACTAGAGCAGCGACGATTTCCCCTTCCGTTGTCGGACCTTCACATCTAGCTGCTTCGTGCGGTTCTAATCTGGTGAAATCAGCTGGATACTCTTGGAAAGATGTCTGCCGCAAATCAGGCTTCCTGGCAAAGAGACCTTCATAATGCTCTCTGAAACCGCTTCAAATACAAGTCGACGATTGTAGTAGCCATCCATTAGGAGTCCATTTTTATGGCTTCAGATGACATCTTTTGCAGTCTGGCTCTGACCACCTGACCCTGATATCGCGCACCACTTGTAAGTTTCAGTCTCCTTCCGCCATTACGCGTGCAACCCTGTCATGTAGGGCTGCTTCATTTGTTAGGTTTTCAGGTCGAGCTTCAGCGCGTACTCTGCTGCGAGAGATCTGATCTTGTACCTGAGAGATCTCCACCACTGACAACCTTCCCAAAAATCTCTCATTGGATCTAGTCTGTCAGTTTTTCGCAGAAGTTAAGTTTATCAAGGAGAGACGTGCTCATTTTCCAATACCCTGCCATTTTGACTTTGTTCCTCACTTAGATATGGACGAGAACCATTTTGTCATCCGAGAATCCCAACTAACGGAATAATGGGCAACCTGTAAAGTTGAGATCAACTTTACGAACCAGCACTCAATATAACTTGTGTTGCTGGTAGAGGGACAGTTGTGCGCCCAAGTCCATATCTTGCGGTTTGGGTGATCCACTCTGAAGGAAGGAGCTGCCGCTACTACTTATATCCGATTCAACCAGGCGCCTATCTCCCACTGCCTTCACAATATGTACATCTGCGTCCAGAGACCGGCTAAGATGGACTCTCACCTGCAAAGAATAAGCTGAAAAGACGTCAAACTTATCTCTCAGCACATGAGTATCCCTGTCAGAGGAGAAATGGGTTTCCTCGATTGTAGCCACATCCACACTCAAGGACTCAAGATCTCGAAGCAGGCGTGCTGACTTACCTCTGTTCCTGAAGCCCTTCACATTTAAACTAGCCAATCAAAGAGACATATCTTTTTAGCTGGTGCTGCCGCTGGTTGGGTCAAAGTATTCCGGCAAGAGCTTCCCGACAGCCTGGCCGAGAGTGACCTGCCCCAGTTCTTTGTCGATCAGGCGGAGGGTAGTGTTAATCCAACCCACATCGAGGGGAAAAGTCAATTTCAGGCTCTGCAAAGGGTTGGGTGCATAATCACTGGTGATCTACCTGTGCATTGTGTTGTCAGTTCTTTCACAGGGGTGGTCTCAGAGTCCACCAGATGCAGGTGTGGATCAGCATCCCTTGCTGCATCCTGCATCCTCCACGCTTTTGAATACCCGAAGTGGTTCCTCATGAATATCATTAACATCTGACAGTGAGGAAAGTTGGCAGGATTCAGAAGTACTCCGGGCCTGGTTGCCGAGCTTGGGCATGATGCTAAAAAATCTCCAGGTTGCTGGCAAGTCAAATAGAGTAGTTTCCTGCTGCTGACCACCATTTGAATCCAGGTCTCCCCACACTTAACCACATTAATTAGGGAGAAAATTGCGGTGTAGTTTCTGCTGGTGTCAGCACTTCCTGCTACCTATAATTCGAGAGGAAAGCTGCTAACTGCTCTTCTTCAATCTATGCGGGGACACCGTAATTGTTAATTTTAGTGTGCCGTCGCCCCCGATACTCGGGTACAAATTTTAAGCCACTTAATGTGTAAGAACTGCGTGTTAGCCCCTACACATTCTTCAGCAGTGCCTGGGAGTGGGTCCCATGTTGCATAGCTACGTCTGTGTATATATTTAATGTCTGTTTTTTGTGTAGCGTTAGCGAGCTTTCCATTCCTGGTGTCTATTACTATCAGAGTTATTGTCCTTGGCTCTATTACTTCTAGTGTGCACGGGTAAACATACTCAATGTATTTGTGGGCCTCTTTCAGAAGTTCGTTCATCGACCTTTGCCCCCATAGATCTTTCTGTGAGGGCACTTGTCACCTGGTCCAGAGACAAGTGCTGGTCATTCATTTTCTTGCCTTCTTATTGACCACTCCTCCTTTTTGCTGATGTTCCTCTTTATGTTTCAAGGATTGGCAGCTAGAAGCTGCTCCTAATTCTTGCTTGGCATTAATTGGTAAGGGGGAGAGCCAAAAGGGCGAGAGATTGTGGCGACCTCAATAAAAACGACATTTTTTAGACGCACAGTATCGAACGACGGAAACTGAGTAAGACAGTTACTATAAATAAAATAACATCGGCTGCTGAGTTATTTTTAAATTATTGTTAAGAGAAATTTTCGTAAGACGGGGATCAATATCACAGAAATAATGGACTATTGCGACTTGATTGCGTGGAAAGACAAAACACTTATAAGAGACGCTACTTTGTTTCAGCGAAAGAAAGAAAGAAGTGTTTCACATCTCCTGCTAATACCGCACGAATAATGGAATATTCTGCGATAATCGCTTGAGAAGACAAAAGGCATATCAAAGACGCTACTTGGTTTCAATGAGAAAATGTTAGAAAGAAGGGAAGATAAAAGTGTTTAATGTCTGTCTCAGTGAAATGGAAAGTTTTCAATTTTTTCTCATTTGTACCGCCTTACTTCTTAAAATAACGACCAGCATTCATATTTATGATTGCTATTGTAATATTTTGTTAAAGTTGTTAAGCTCAAATATTTAGCGATGTGATATTTTATTGCCCATGTCCTGAAGGGACACGGCACATAGAAGAAGAAGTATTACGTCTATCGGCCTGCTACTGTCAGAGAACACAGTTTCTTTATTAAGTTTTCACCAGTGTGCAGGACAATAGACGTAATACAACTGTTTAAAAAACGGGGCGTCTATTTCAAACATGAATATCCACTAAAAATAACGTTTGAAGTAAAAAAAAAAAAAACGGTTAAAATATGTAGACAGGTAAAATGCTGAATCTAAAAAGCTGAAATTATCCTACACCTATAAAATTCAGTAAAATCATAAAGAAACATTCGATATAGGGAAGAGACATCATTGTAAAATATGTAGAATTCTGCGAATGTCTGAGAATATGCATGCAAATTCTAATGTTTGGTTCCTTTAAATATTTCCCTATAACCTTTCATATTGATAAAGAAATTCCCTGGGCATGTAGAAAGAACCCGCAACTACCATCTTTTGGTTTTCAGCCAAACTCAGTACACCAGGTAGTCGAGAAACATATTTTTCATTTTTATTAGTATGGTTATTAGTGCACCAATAGCAATTGTGAATATTATTGTTATTAGTAGTAGTATTAATAATACTGTTATTATTACTATTATTGGTTTTATTATCATCATTATTATTATTAAGGATTCTATGAAAAAAATAAGTTTTTGCTCGAGTTTTCTATCTCGTGTTTAATCATGCGATTACTGACAGCTGTTTTCTGAACCTGAAACGACCAATCGTTCTCTTAGTCCGCCATTCAATTGTACTTCATTTTCTTTTTTTTTTTTTTTTTTTTTTCTTTCTTTCATTCTCATCTGTAGGGGCTCGTTTATAATTCATGACGGAATCTGGGACATCGGACCAACTGGTAGAATGCCTCACGTAAAGAGTCACTCACCGCGAAGACCAGGTTCTCTGGGTCGAGACGACCGACCAAAATAAACACCATCCTACCCTAAAAATGCAAGTGATCGATTAGACAACTAGATATCTTTTTTTTTTTTCGCCATTGATGATAAATTAATTTCTGTTCAAGTGGTAAAAGAAATAGTTTTATCTTAATTCTTATATGAAGTATTTTAACTCCCCATTAGCATTGCGACAGCATTAATATAGGGTTTTCAATTACTCCATTTAAAATATTCTGGATATATTGTTTTAGTTTTAAAACATTATTATATATTATATATATTACATGTTATCTACTGTCTTGAGTATTCTTTCTCGTTTTATAGGTGTTGTGGTACGATCCACCTAAGTTACATAGTGGAGTACCGACCATATAAATATGGGTTGGTACCGGGAAGACGAGGGAAGTAACAAGAGATCCAATCCAGAGACTCTGCCCGACTGCGATTAAGTCAACCCATTCTACAGGAACAGTCTTCCCAAGAATATACCAAAACTAACTGTAAATATTGTGTACCTTTTCCTTGTTTCAATACATTTTGTTTACGTACATTTTGTGTTGTATTATTATTATTCCATGCTTATCCAAGCTTCAACAATAGGATATGCAGACATTTAAAAAAAAGTTTTTATTTAAAAAAAAATGGAATAAGGAGGCCAATATTAAAAATGAATTTTAAAATTCGGTTATCCTTTTTTATTTTTGTTATTTTCATCATTTGTTAGTAGTAGCCGCAGTAATAATAATAATAATAATAATAATAATAATAATAATAATAATAATAGCACTATTATTACTGCTAAATTAATAAAATCTCTCTCTCTCTCTATCTATCTATCTATCTATATATATATATATATATATATATATATATAGAAAGAGAGAGAGAGACTTTATTAATTTAAGCGCAATACTAGATTAGCGGCAAATTCTCATCATTTTACAATTGAAATGTCTAGATGTAACCGTAAATTCTATGTCAAAAGTTTCTTTTCTCGCACTTCCCACTTGTGGAACTCACTTCCAGCTTCTTGCTTCAAAAATTTAAATGCAATGTCAACATAATTCCCAAGTCACAGAACAACCAATGACACAACTTCTTCAACGCTTATTAACCCTGTCACCCCTCCTTTCTTGGGATATACATCCTATCAACATCTCTATTTTGATTCAGATCACCATGCATATTCCTCAACTAACGCGTTTTTTTTATCCATCTTCTCCAATTCCGTATTATTCCAAATTAAGAATGCTGCAGAATAGAGTAGCAGAGATTGCCCAAGTCTTAGTTCCTTTAATCATGTGTCTACGATTTAGTTTTGTTTCAAGAATTATTCTTACGCATCTAAAATATCTTTATTTCATTTCAGTATGCTTCACCCGGTTAGCCTCTAGAGTGTCAAGATACTTATAGTTCTCGCCCTATTTCAAAGATTTCATGACCTCTCCATCCGTCAATTGTGCTCCATCGAACTCAACCATTTTTTCTTTTCTTCATACTTACGGTAACACATTTGTCAATGCCAAATTCCTTACTAATATCATCGCTGAGCACAAGAACCGATTGAATCTTTTGTTATTATTATTATTATTATTATTATTATTATTAGCAGCAGCAGCATGGTTTTCGTTGACAACCGGGGATCTTGCATTATGGGTGTTCTCCATCAAGTCGTTTGACCTCAGACAGATAGCCCTTTTCGTAGAATATCTGCTGTGACAAACAGCACACAATTCTGAAGCGATTGGATACTAGGCTTTATTTCGACTTTCTTAATATAGGAATTTAATTTCCAGTGGTATAGATCTCAAGGGTCCAATTATAACTAGGACAATAGTGGCTTGAACGTCACATATTATGGCAACTTCAATTCAGCGGTCGCTGTATTTGTTAAGCTTGTCAAATTTTTGACCTTGATATTATGGTCACAATGAACCGCCATGTCGATGAGGAAGTATTTTCTACATTTTTTAAACGACATTGATGCTTGGTTTGGTTTGGGGGCCTCAAGAATAAGTTCTGATTATTATTATTATTATTATTATTATTATTATTATTATTATTTTATTTCCTTTGATTTCTGGTGTGTACACATTTCTTTCCGGGTCCCACTCAGAGACCTAAGGTTAGAAATGGCATCATGACATTTTCCACTGACCAAAAAAAATATACTTTACATAGACAAGGCCTTTGTAAGATATGGGCTGTACTCGTGAGAACAATTTTTTGTACCTCTTTAAGGCATGGGCTTCCAGGAATCCTTTCAATTAGTCTACTGGAATCTTTTCCAACCAATCCGAGGGCTCCAACTACAACAGGGATTGTTGATGTTCTCATATGCCACATTTTTGAGATTTCGATTCCAAGGTGCTTGTATTTTGATAGCTTTTTGAAGTTCTTCAAAGATACATTGCAGTCTGCAGGGACTGCCATATCAACAAGGAGGCACTTTTTTTGTTTGCAGTCTCTAATTACAACGATTATTATTATTATTATTATTATTATTATTATTATTATTATTTACTCTTTCAGTTTTCCAAGTATACAGATGTGACTCACTAGTAGCTTTAGATTTCTCATCTTTCAAAGTTCATTAAAAAAAAAAACTCTTGAATCCCGGCCATAGTGCTAACTCCCGCTCAACAGAGATATATTATGCCTGTCTCTAGGAGATATTTGACAACACAGATTCATTGTAAATTTTTCAAATGATATTTTCCTTAATTTCTGTTAATAAACTACCCCTTCAAGATAATAAGAGTTTATTCCAACCTTGCCTGGAGTTTCTTTTTTTTATCATGTCTGTTATATATGTCCAAATTACTGTGAATTATTCGAT